AAGAAGAGTGATTTATCCATTGAAGCCTTCCCCTTCTGTTCAAATTACTTTTATGAGATAGTCCTGTGTAGATGTACTTGCTGGCTGCCTGGTTTGTTAGACTTCAGGCTACTTATGTGAAAGAAAAAATAACAGTCTTCTCCAAATAAAAACTTGCTTAGCTTTTACTACCTGGGTTCCATTGCTCTCAACTGAATAGAAGAGGAAGGGCAGATCACTTTTATTCAGTTGCCTCTTTAGTACAGAATAACTGTAGAACGTTTTTTGAAGATGAAAAAGCCCTTAAAAAACAAGTTATTCCGATTTTCTTTAGAATTCCTCCTTTCTCCTCTGCCAGGCTGACACTATCGGTTGAGTTTGTCATGCATGTTATATAATCAGCTCCTTGAAAATGGTTTTGCATTAATACACCTATTTGCAAAATATTTTAATTAGCCCAAGGAAAACTACAATTGCCAAAGTTTCCTTTTCAGCCCATATTTGCATATGTCAGTGAGCCCACCACATTTAGAAGAGTAGGAGGAATTGCAAAACTTTTCCTCTATGTAACACAGTCTTTTGATTCCAGCCACCATCCTCAAGGTAACTAGAGCAAAGCAGAACAGGAAACTATAATCCAAAGAATAGAAGTACATTTGAATGCAAGTCATACAACATTTACAAGAATGAGCTTGGGAAATTTCTAGAGGAAATCTTAGCAGTGACAATGAGGAAGAGGGATGCAAAGCATTTTCTATGGATGGTGCAGATCTTTATCCTGATCCTTTATCACCCATCCTGATACCTTCACCTCTGTATTGTTCGATATAATTCAGTTGCTAGGATCAGGATTATCTGCCTGGCTGCTGTGGTGGTCCACGCTAACCAAGTTTGCAAGCCACATTCCTGGAAAAAGCGTGTGCCTATCCTCCCAGTCCCTTTTGGCATTTTTATTGTTTAGCCAGTTCTGCAGAGACTGCAGTTCTTACAGGAGCCTCAGAGACATATCTGTCCACTTTATGGATGAGCACTCCATAGCATGCGGATCATTCCAGATATTGTCTGTCTCAATGTGCAGATGTGCCCTTATCCATTCACCTTATTCTGGTAGCTATAAATATAAACATATAAAAATTGCTTTACTGGTTGAGTGGGGCCAAGAGACAGAGCATGGCAAGCCTGATGCCAGTAAGGATCTTGCATTCTCAGATGGACACTTAAGGCCTTGTTCATCCTCACCATTTAATAGTAGGATATAAAAATGCAGAATATGATACTCATGATCACCCATTGTTTTTCTCTGAGGGCATGTAACAACAGGAAATGCTGTCCCTTTGCTGATCCCCCATCACTGAAATGCAGCACTGTTGTTCTCGTACTTGCTCTGGCTGTGCCCTCATTCATGTCTATGTATTGCTAACCCTCCACCCCTGGAACGTTCTCCCTTGAAATACCAAAGAAAATAGAAACACTTTGAGATGGCAGCTACTGGCATAAATGGCTTTGTAAATTGGACAGCTTGGTGAAGCTAGAGAGTCTTTGGGATGGCTGTTAGTTATAATTGCCAAAAAAAAGTTTATTAGGGCAGAAATAGACAAGCAGTGCCCCCTCAATCCCTTGTAAGCAGCTATCCTTCTTGTGAATGAAGGGGGTTGAAAATGGAAAGAGCTGGATGGCTGTCTTAGAGTATAGCCTCCCCTGCCCATCTGTTATTTCTCTTTTGTCATTTTCTCTTTTGCATTTTACCAGTGAAACTTTTTTTGTCTGTGCATCTCAATAATGTTGGCAACACTGGAAGAGTCTTTTAATCACTGTAAGGTCAAAAGAATCCAACTGCTCAAGTTGCCTACAGGTAATCCTCGTTTAGTGACCAATTATTTAGTGACTGTTCAAAATTACAACAGTCCTGAAAAAAGTAAATTATGACTGGTCCTCACACTTACGACCGTCACAGTGTCCCTGCAGTCACATGATCATGATCCAGGCACTTGGCGACCAGCTCGCATTTACGATTGCAGCATCCCAGGGTCATGTGATCACTATTTGCAACCTTTCCAGCCAGCTTCTGGCAAGCAAAATCAATGGGGAACTGCCCGATTCACTTAATGACAGTGTGATTCACTTAACAACCACCTGATTCATTTAATGACTGGTGATTTGCTTAATGACCACTGCAAAAAGGTCATAAAATCGGGTGTGGTCACATGCTGCCTCACTTAACAACCACCCTGCTTAATGACAAATTTTCTGGTCTCTATTGTGGTCATTAAGCGAGGACTACCTGTATTTATTTTTACTTATAGGCACTGCCATTTTAATTCCCATTTGCCCAAAGGGCTTGCAGGAATTAGGGTTGTCAACTGATTATGAAGCTGCAGCAATTCAAAAGGAAAAAAAAGCTGTTCAACCAGCCATCCTGAACAGATTTGCCAAGAAGATACCCTTATTAAATAAACCCCAACAACAGGATTCACTGAGATTCTATTCCAATGCTATTGCTTTGCTAGTAGTTTGATTATTCCAAAACTCTAGGAGCTGTAGTATTTATGTTTTCTCTTAGTTCTGGAAAAAAAATTGGAAAATTTTCTCAGCTGATTACTTCTTACACTTTAATAACATGGAATTGCAACTGTGGAATAACACGCAGTGTATGCAGGGTTGGGGCTGTTAATGTCTATACTCAGATCTCAATTTTGAAGGTATTTTCTCTGTTTCAAAATGTCAGCAACAAGGAAGGAAGCAATACAAACTTTGGCTTTGAAGGATAGCAGGTAAAATACAGTATACATAATTATATATAGGCAAATTCAGAGGCTTTTTACAATACCTGCCAGGTATAAGCAATGATGATTTATATCTCTGGTTCAGCTTTACCCAACTTGTGTGCTCCATATATGTAGCAACTGCTACTCCCAGCATTACCAGCTGATCTGGAGGGAGCTATGAGTGCTTTTTGCTCTTGAGATGTTGAAGAAAGTACTAAGATTACAAGGCTTTACGTGCAAACATTACAATCCTGTATTATGAAGAAACTGGCTAAAAAGGTAACTGGCTGATTTTTTTTTACATTACAAAATCTTCTGAATTCAGGGAGTTGTTTTTTCCCCAGTAAAGATTATATGATTGCCCTCTTTAAGCCAGAAGACATTAATCACCTTTCATAACCATGGGACCAGTTGCAAACTGGCTGATTTAATTAGCCAAAAGAGGAAAAGGTTAGGCAAACGGGTGGTGGCCCTTACCCTCCACATCTCTGAGCTGGAGAATCTGAAAAGATTCCACATTAACAGGACATGTGGTTACTTTCCTGTGACCTTCCCCCATATTGATATCCAAATTGGGGCAAATCCAATCAACCATCCCTGCAAAGAATGCTGAAAATTCCCCACGGCAAGTTCAGACTATTCTTGGTAAGAGCCCTTCATGCATGCTAAATAGTTGGCCAATTTGCATTTTTCAAAAGCTGTTCACAAAAACCCAACATATTCAGTAAAACATGCTAAACCTTTGAATTAGTCTTCCAGACATAAATCAATATGTATTAAAAATGATGTAGTGCTTAGAGTTGAATTAGGACTGGAGACCCAAGTTTCAGGTCCACCTTCAGACATGGAAGCTCAGTGGATTACTTTGGATTGGTCACTGTCCCTCAAACCAATCTGTCTTGTAGAGTTGGTGCTGTGGAAAACAAATTGGAGGAGAGAATACTTGAGAGCCAGTAGAGAATAGACCGTATATAAATCTAACAGATAAAAATTATTCTTGCTTGTATTTCCTACCTATAAATGTCAGTTTCTTCTGTTGATGCCCAATTATTTTACAGTCAGATTCTTGAATGGCTCCATTATTATGTGAAAGAAAAGAAATGCATTGGCTTCAGTTTATGAAACAGAGCATCATAATTGGTTCAGTTGCATACTTCACTTAGAAATCTGGGAGGGTCCTCTCAACTGTGGAGTTTTCCACAAGCTAGGCCACCAAAAAGTGGAGTACCTGGAGAATAAGCAAGGTGAATAGAATGTCAGGCAAATACAATGTCTTTATTTAAAAACTCTGGACCACCTCTGCCTCTGGAGGAAAAATGCCAGCCATCTGATCTGTGGGCTTTTCCCTGGCAGTGGGGAGGCTGAAGGGAGGTGGAAACAAAAGAATGTCAGTTTTGCATTTTTCTGGGCATGTCGCTTTATAAATGGAAGCATCTCTGACAGAAGGAAGGCAAGGATACTGAACCCAGTGCCCAATATCGATGGGAAAAGGGGATTTCTCCTGCTGGTTTTGTGGAAGTAATGTAATCAGTTGAAGAGGGGAATATTTGCAGCAGCTGTCTTGGGGAAAAGTGAAGTGAAGCATGAGACTATTCCCAAGCTGGTGCTGACAAAGAACAGAGTTTAGAAGGCAATGCTAAAGAAGTTGGGAAGAAGAGACTGAAGGGATGGGTCAGATGCTGTCCTGTGCACAGCAAGGTGAGTCTGGCAGACTTGGGACAAGGGCCAACTGCAGATAAAAGAAGGAATACCGTGCCCGTATCCATAGGAGCACCAGGTTTGCTGTCATCGTTACCACCCGTTCTTCTAACTAACGGGGCAGCAACTATTTTTTCAGAATGACCACAGAACTGTTCCTGAGAAAGCAAGGAAACATGTAAATATATGCAACAGAGAAGCAAAAAGAGAAAGTATGCATTGAGCATGTCTCTTTATCTAGTAACAAAGTATTCGATTATGTGTCTGTTCCTTTCAAAAAAACATTAATGCATTCATTCTAAACTATGGTTAGAGACAACATACAGGGCAACGGGAGTTTGCCACTGAATTATTTTTCTGGTAATATTCTGATTTGGAGCTGAGCACATTATTTGTGGCCAAGATGCTTCTTTATAAAGCCTTCATAGAGTTGCAGACTCCTGTGAAAAACATTGCCAAATGTTTCTCTAAATTTGCATTCAAACTTACAGATCCCACAATTCATCCGTATACTAAACTGACACGTTTCCCCCCTTTTTTCTTGTTCTCTTTCTCTAGAACTCCTGGGATCAACTAAACGGCTGAATGTGAACTACCAGGATGTAGATGGGTATGTAATGATCTGATTAAACAAAGACAAAAGTGTTCATGATTTAAATGGAATTTTACTTATTTTTTAAAAAGTATATGGCTGCCCAAGTAGAAAATTGTGAGTATACAAGTTTTTGGGCAGCATACAATAAATAAAAAAATGAAACAAAATGAGCTATTTCAATTAAAATCTAAAAAATTAATAGGCAACCAAGAAATCACATTCATACACCCCCCAACATGGGAAATTCCAATCATCCCATCCCCAAAGTCTGAGAAAAAAGCCAGGTTTTTAAGGCCTTTCTAAAGGCAACAAGATAGGGCCCAAATGTATGTTGGGCATATAGGAGGATTGAGCCACAGAGGAATCGCCACGATGGAAAAGCCATGCTTCCTGAGTCCCACCAGGTGGCATTGATTCATGGAAGGGACCCAAAAGGTGTCCATCCTATTGGAGCATGTGGGATGGGCAGATATTATAGGGGAGAGTCAGTCCTGCAAATAACTCAGTTCTTAATTATGAACATATGAAGAATTTGTAGATATTCCTTTCTCCATGATATCTACTCTGATTACAAACTGAAGCACACTACTGTACCTGTTCTGTTTTCTGCTCTGCCATTGACCCCCAGTATGACCTTGTGTCCATCACTTTACATTATGGATGCAAAACCCGAATCTAAAACAGGAAATCAGTCCTTAAAATACCACAAGCAGATACTTCATTCAAATTATTAGTTGGAAAACTTTCTTGTGTCCTAGAAATGGGTATAGTTTATAACTCCCGAATGGCTGGAAATTCCTGGAGAGCAGACTGGAGAAAACTAAAGCTGAGCTTGCATCAGTAGAGATTTGGGGTCTGCAGCTTCAGACCCTTAGAAGAAATATCACCGCCCTTCCTGGAAAAAAAAATCCCATTGAAGAAATACAATAATTTCCCAGAACACTGAAAAGCATTTACAGTACAGTGGATTAAGGGCTGAAGTCATATCATACATGCATAACCCAATGGATTAAAGTCACAGGTGATTAAATGCCTGAACATGCAGCTAATGATCCTCAATTATTATGTATTTATATAGCACCAGTATTATTTCCCAATCTTGATATTAAGTGGAGCAGAATGTTTTTCTAGTTTTCTTGCCACCTCCCTTTATTTCTGCAGGCCAGTTGTTCTAACAGAAACATTGCATCTAACTCCCACAAGTTTTCAGACGAATGGGGCAAATGTGGCTTTGTGAGGCTTGGTCCTCTGACATTCTAGTTGGAAAGACTGCCCCAGGCTCTGAGCTACAGTAGATCCAGGCTGAGAAATGTCTGTATGAAGAAATGTAATCTAGGAGTTGATTTTCCAAAATTTCCCTTCCATACTGAACTGTGGAGACCTGGGACAGGTAAAATGCAGAACAAATAAACTAGCCAATGTTCAGCCTAGATATCATGTCTAGTCCTGCTAGTAGGTAGAAGGAGGCAGCTATCTGAGGAAGTAAGCAACGGCAGAAAACTCATACTTCTATGTTGTTGTGTATATTGCCAGGAATAGAGGGAGGTGCTAAGATATTTCTGCCTCATTTGCCAAAATGACTTTGGTTACTCTACACATTGATTGGGAGAGGGTGGGTATTGTTCGCTTCTTCATCTTAGGCAGAAAAATGTCTTGAGATGGCCTTGCTGGAGATTGAATGCTGACAGAGAGACAAGATGGGAAATTCTGAAGATCAGTCATAAAATAGCCTAGATGAGTCTTAAGTGGACTGTAGGAGATACTCAAATTGGAATGTACTAGCATTGCAATCCTATCTACTAGAGATTAATAGTAGTAGTGATAGTAGTCTTTTTCATATGCATCTTGCCATACAAAGTAATAAAATATGACCAAGAAATCAGTATAACTCACAACAATCCAATTTAAGATCACTCCAAAAGCCTGAATGCACTAAAGCTGATTTAAATTGGCTAAAATAAAGGGTTTTAGAGCCAAAATGGCAAACCAAGAGACTTTATAGAGACCAGGAGAAGACCAAAATAATTTCTTTTGCCAGGCTTTTCTGTCAGTTGTTCACAAACATGCTGGGTTGAAACTTAGTTCATTAATGCTTCTCTTCCAACATTCTTTCACACAGGGGGGATCTGTAGATATCCCAAGTAGAGAGGAAAAAAAACCATTCTAGTTCTGGACAAAGAACTGATACCATCCATGAGGGCAGGATTAGTTCTTGATCATTTCATTCTTTACATGCCAGATACAAATTCACAGAATGATGGAAATGGAAATGTTGCAGCTGACATAGGAAGAACCATGCTAGGAACACATTTATACACACCCATATCAAATCTACATAAATACATAATAAATTCATGTTTGTAATGCAGGAATAACAATTTTATGTAGTTTTTAAAAAATTATTTTACCACTAGGAATTTGCCACAACTTCACTTTTATAAGATGAAAGAAAAGTTCTAGAAATCCCAATTAAAACTCATAATGCTTCTGTGCTTGGTAAAGTTTGCATTTGCATCAATTTATAATGTATTTGATGTATTTATTAGTGCAGAGTTTAATCTGTATCTGTTTTAACTATTCAACAAATCTTGAAAGCTAACATTTCTTTAATTATTTTAAGAATTAATTCATAATTGAGCTACTGTATCTTAAACCAGTGTTTATACCCATTCACTTGTCAACAGCAGCCATTCTCTAGTGTTTCCTTGCTTTCTGTAGCCCCAGAAGATCCATAGATGCTTATTGTGTTGCTCTCCCAGAATTGAAAAGCATGGTATAAAACAAATAAATTAAATGCTGTGACAGAGCCACAAGTTCTAGCTACTACCTTGGTGTGTGGGTATAGTGGTTAAGAGACATAGCTACATGTCAAGAGGATGTTATTGGTTTACATTTTACTTTGCCAGGAGCTCATTAGGTGATCTTAGCCAAACCACTTGCTTCAGGCTCAGTTACTCCAATTGTAATAAGAGAAATAATCTGGACATAAGTAAACCTGGGATAGCGTTAAAATTTCCAGTGTTTTATTGTTCATGGTCAAGACAATTTTCTCAACATTGTCCCACTGCTCTTCTCCAAAGTACATCATGGGATCTAGCAGTGATGAGATGGGCATCTCTGCACTAAGCTGTCACTGCTCCATTTGTCAAATAACAGCAGTGTTGTAGGGAGATACTCCAGTCTCAATCGTGTCTCATGTCCCAGAGTAACTTGATGGGCTGCAGGAAAGCTTAGTTGCAGACCTGGAGAGCAGAAAGTTCCCTTTTATTGGTTGTTTTAGTAACACTGAGAATTTTAGCAGGAGTGGCAGGGCTGCCACAACCTCCTTAGGACCCACACAGGTTACCAACTCCTGCTAGGCAATGCCAAGACAGCTCTTGGTGGCTGTTCTTCCAAGCTCTTTGGGCCTGCCCCTTGGAATGGGCACTATGCCCTTTCAGAGGCTTTGGCCAGTCTTCTGGCTGTGGGAGCTCTCATTCCCATTGAGAGGTTACTGTGGGGATAATTGGAGCCTCCAGGCCTGCAGCAGAAGCCCAGCATGAGCTGACTGCTTGCTGGCTGCCTCTGGCTAAGAAGAGACCTCCCTGATGGAGGCTGTCATTATGCACTGGGGGGCTGGTAGTGTTGGCATTCCTTGTATTAGTGGCTGCCATTAATTCCTCCTAGACAACCTCCTGCAGGAGGCAGAAGGGCACAACAGCTTCCAATCTGCTGCGATGGATGCCCATCAGCATTGAACAGGGTCAGAGGGCTGAACCAGGCTGCAGCCAAAGTTGCCCTCCACGCTTTCCAGCCCTGCTGGGGATAACATCATTGCTCTGAAGGACCCAAGCCCCCATTGCTGCAGAGGCTAGGTTCCCGTGGGCTCTGAGCTAGCCTCCCTCCTTTCAAATGAATGAATGAAGTAGGCACTAAGTAACGGGGAGGCGGGAGCCAGTGGGGGAGGGGAGGACTGGATAAACAAGCCTCTTTCACAAACCCCAAACACAAGATCTATTCATTCTCAGTGGCCTCACACATTCTGGCAATAGGAAAGTGATGCTGGGAAAGAGGCGGCCATAATCAGGGCAAGTCCAGGGAGGTAAGGAGGGGGAGGTGAGGTGCTCTCCCTACCGAGAGACAGCTGGTCACTTGTCCAAAGGCCAGCATTAGCTTTTCTGTCTGGCCTTTTGGGTGCTATCCTGGAAACACACACACACACACACGCACACACAAGCCACAGTAAGGAATAACTCATTGGGCTGCTTAATGTTCTTACAGGACTGCTTGTACTCTTTTCTTTTCTTTTTTCATTGGAGAAATGAAAGATCCACTCACACACCCCAGCATATTTTGATGAGCAAAAGAACCCTCGTGCCTTTATGAGCCGCAAGGCTGGCTTGAGCAGGGGTATTAGTCCTTTTCAGAGGGAGCAGGGATTAAAAAAAAAAATACTTGCTTAAGACCCCCTTGCAAGCCAGTTACTGAATAAAAACACGAGCACCCTAAATCAGAACTTGGGGAGGGGAGGCTGTAAGTCT